AATGAGGATACACACATTCTGGCTTCGACGCGTGTTTCACCTCAACCCAATGGACCATGCAGGGTAATAGAGGGCTGAACATTTAGGGGGTTTTTGGAAGGAGAGGTCCTAGGCTGCATAGCCACTTAGGGTGTCATGGCAGCATGGGCCTTATGTCATTGCTGGATTGTAGAAAGTTCACTTATTCATATGAGGGAGCTAATGTACACCTGTAATACTGATTTTACCATACATTTATTTATTTGCAGTATGTGTCCTGTGAGATAACTTCTGTTATAAATTGGTGCTATACAAATAAAATTGAATTGAATTGAATTGAATTATTCTGCTGAGATACATGAAAGCATGGAAGGGTGAATTGCTTTATGGGCAGCTATATGAATATTATTTTTAAGAAATTAATCCGTAATCTGTTTCCACTAAATATTTTATGATCTCAAGTGTGTTTTAATAAGATTAAATAAAAATTATGAACACGAGGAAACAAATTAAAAATAAATCTTTTTAATGCCTCCTTGGCCTTCCGCATTCTGGACCTTTGGAAATTTTGTGATCAAATATAAAATATTAATCAAATATTAAGCATGTAGTAGCAGTCCTCTGATTAACTTTAAATATAGGCACGTGTTTAGCAACCATGAACGACTAACAATCATTCAAGATTACAGACCTTACCTTCATCAAGTGGATTTCAGCCGTCTCTAATGGTGCCTACAGCTAATAAATTAACAATTTATTTTTCATTTAAATATTTTTGGGGATGTTTTATTGCCTTTAATTGATAGTAGCAGCTGAAGAGTGACAGGAAGGGTGAGAGAGAGAGGGGTTGACACGCAGCAAAGGGCTGCCGCAGGTTGGATTTAAACCCTGTGCTGCAGTAAGGACTCAGCCTTGTTACATGGGGAGCCAGCTCCACCAGGTGAGCTATCCAGGTGCCCCTATAACTCAACAATTTTAAACAATGGTAGAATGAGCAACTATCAGCTATTAGATACATCTTGTTCTTTCTCTCTCTCTCTCTCTCTTTCTCTCTCTCTCTTTCTCTCCATTCTGTACCACCCTCTGCCTCCTACCAAGTCACCTTTGCAATGCATAACTTTATTTTCCTTTATAAGAACCCACAAACAACCTCATTTCTTGCTGTACGGTAACTCTCCATTCCTCTCTCTTACAGTTCCTAGCCGCAATGCCACTTTCACTCTGACCAATGTGGTTCCTCAGAACCCCAAGCTGAACCAGAATGCCTGGAGGATCCATGAGTCCCAGCTCACTGACCTTTTCCGGGACAAGTGCTCTAAGGCCTATGTGCTGGTTGGTGCAGTTCCCTCTGCAGACAACTGGATTGTCAAAAACAATGTGAAGCGTGTCAACATCCCAGATTACTTGTGGAATGCCTACTGCTGTGTGGACAACAATGACAGTCCCATTCAGAGTGGTGCTGCCACAGCAAGGAACACAGAGAACAACTGGGTGGAAAGGCTCTCTCTGGATGAGCTGGGAGAATTCCTGCAGCAGTTCTCCAATCAACCAGTAGGGGAGCTGTTTTACAACAACTGCAGGGCATGAAAGATAACAGATGGACGATGAAAACACAGATCAGTTGCCATTGCCCTTTAATTGCCCTTTAGAGTTGTAAAGCCACAAAAAGCAAATATTCATAATAATTCAAGAGTGTTAAAAGAGTAAAAACAAATTTCACAATGTTGTCAATATGGTGCATGTTACCATGTAACATTAAAAGACTAATAGTACTCATTAAACCACAAACAGATGAATAAAAATAAGTAGCAGAGGGATCAAGTGACTCTTTACTTGTGTCTTTTTCATTGACAGTAAAGGAAAATATCAACATACAGTGTCATTTATTGTAACACTGCAAGACAAATAAATGAAATTAATTTCCATGTCCACCACTTCAGGATTACAGTGAAAACGCAGTCCAAGTAGCAATTACAGAAATGTATACATAATTAATGTATTAATATATAAAATGGGAACTTTCAACATGTAAGCAAATGTATGAAAAATGAAAATGAAAAAAGAAAAACACAGTATTCTGAATCTGAATCTCAGCTCAATCAGAGTATCTGATTTTTGCTATGTGAGATGACCCTCACCTGACACACGATACAGTGTAAGCCCACTTTAGTTTATTATTAGTTTTTATGGTTGCTGAAAAACATTTAATCACCTAACTCTACAGCTTCCCCTCAGCTTTACAGAGTGCTTGTGTCAGCTCATAGTTGTGATTTTACAGCTATTTATAGCCCAAACAGCAGAATTATATATTGCTTTAAGCTGCAGATGTACTTTTAGGGGAATGGTCATTTTTTAGGGCCTTCGTGAATATACCTAGTCATGGACCTATGCTTAGAATATTAATAGGTTTTTATTTTGACAACATGTGTACTTTATTGTTAAAAATATAATAAGGAGAGCCTGAATGATAAATCAGAGAAACATGAAACCCTTTAGTTGTCTTACAAAAAATACAATTGGCCTCCCAGTAGTTATTGTTTTCTTCCCCCATTTCTTTACAGTAGAAAATTCTATTTTAATATTTAAATATTTTTTTTCCAGGAACATTTTGCTTAGGAATGATCATCATCTAGCTGTCAATTTTAGCATCCTCAGATTAATTATTTTCAGAATAAGGACTAAATGTGAGGAGGTATATGAGCACTTGTGTGTATCATGTTGGCAATTCTATTATGTAAATAATATTTTACTTTACAATCTTCGTGTGAACTGAATGATTTCATCTTTCTAGGCCATTAACTCAATGTTGTTCTTTAGCCAACTTGCTCATAAACTGTTAATCAATTATTTTTCTTATCTTAACAAATTACTTCCTGTTTTCTTGGGAAATCACTTCTAAAATAATAAAAACCCAAATTTGACCAATTCATTGCTGATTAAAAACATCTATCATCAGCAGTTTTAGCAGTCTAAAGTTTAATCATACTGGACCATCGGGTGGTCACTCCAGGGAGGCAGGTAGAAGAGTTTCTCCTCAGTATCTCTTCCTATGGGCCAACCCCAGGACTTAAAGAATCCAGTCAGATTCATCTTCACAGTCTGGGAGAAAGTCTCAGCATACAGGTTCATCTTTTCTTTGTTGTCCTTTGGAAAGTTGAACATCTCATGGTAGGCAGCAAACACCTTCTTAAAGGCATCCCAGCCAAACTTTTCTTGGAGCTACATGGAAAGAAACAGAGATAAAGGAAAATGTGAATTGACACAATGTGGTGGGTTTATGGAGGGACAAAAGTATATGAGAAGAAATAACTACAATGAGCTAGAAATGCCCAGAGAGGTTATTTTAGGAAAACTGTAAGCACTGGGATCTTTAGATATGATTTTGTTCATTTTGTGTGATTTAGCTGAGCAAGTAGAGTTAGAGCTATAGAGCTGATGCTTTCAAATTGAAACAAAAACTGACAAAGGTCATTTGAGCTTCATGAAGTGCTAGTAATGCTGAGGAATCTTGTTGACTGTCAAGAGGATAAACCAGTTAAAATTAATGAATTTATCAGATCGAACTTTGCATTTGGTGCCCTGATAGAAAATAGCTAAATTGTTTCTGCTTTTGTCACTAAACACTTTTATTAACTATTGTTCCTACAGTGTTGTAGGGACTGTAGCAGAGCTATAGACATCAGCCTTGCATTTTTGGCCAGTGTAAGGTACAATTCTGGATAAAAACTAATGTTTATGTTCTAATGTTTCTAGTGTGATATTTTCTGTATAGAATGTAAAATATAGTCATTCTCTTTCACCTGCATGTATGTCTCCAGGGCCAGCCACACTTTCCAATCCTTGAGTTTCCTGCCCCCCTTAACATACTCCTCTACACGACTCTTCCGATTTGTTAAGGTCATATGTGGATGAGCCTGCATGGAAGACATTACACTCATCATATTATAACGTTAACCATGAGGAAATAACAGGAGGAACAATATGAATAAAAGGAGGAGCAATGTGATCACAATAAGAAGATAAAAACGGTTCAGCTGTTAATGGGAATTTATTGGTGCTTTTGTCCAAGATAACTGTTTTACTCCACCTGTGCCCTGTTGAGCCCCAGCACCTCTTCATGCACATACACTGACCACAGGTTGCATGTACACTCTGTGGTGTGTGGAGGGAACTCCCAACAGCTTCTCTGTTGGTTGTGTCCCAGTTCATGAATTTCTCCCCACAGGCCTACAGTCCTGGCACCATCTAGACTGACCAACTCAGCTGCTATAGATGAGTGCATCATGATAGGATAGCCTGAATGCATCCAACCTGAAAGGAGAGAAATTAGTTACACAATTAGTGTTGCATGAATGTATCTTTTAGTTTCCATAGCTGTGTAATGCACTTTAAGGGATGCACACCAGTCACTGTGATGAGCTCACCATTAGAGTACAAGTGCAAACATATCTTACATTAAACCATTTACTGTTTATATATCACACATGCAGCAGAGAAAATATTTTATTGAATATGTGACAGCAAAACACACTTACCATTGGAAATCTGCACATCTGCTACGATGCGTTCTTTACGTTCAAATTTGTGTGGGATGGCAGCCAGATCTGCGACACCCTTCATGATGTCATTCCAGAGCGTCTGCCACCTCATCAGGGCGCTCCAGGTCGCGAACAACATCTGATGGTACAGTAAGGATGATGTTGTCAAACTCCAGCTCTGCCCAGGGTGAGGGAGCTTTACGCAGCGACGACCAATCAGCTGCTGTTGTCACACCTGAAAGAAACAAAGGGATGGATGGAGTGAAAGCTCTATTGTAGGCAGAGTTCAGTTAAAGTATGAAGACCTCATCTCCAAAACACTTTTTATAAAGTGGGTTTCAGTAAAAGTGCTTCCAGCAGCCCTAAGCTTTTGAAGGCTAAAATATATGGGATCATGCAGCTGTGAATCTACTAAAAAAAAAACATGCAAATACACTAGACCAGAAAGTTCATTATCAGCTAGCAAACGGCTTCATAAGCGCTGCATGATTTGCATTACATTCCCCACATAGTTAAACATTAACAGTCAGTGACACACACTCACCACACTTGTAATAAGGAGCAGGTGTAGCTGTCTGCACTATGAACTCAGCCCCTTCCACCTTTGTGTTGCGTGGGGCCACCAGGTAGATGAGTCCCCCCCATAGGTTTGACACCTGCATCTTCTCTGTGGTAACAGGAAATAGCTCACAAACACACGGTGCTCTCTTTAACTCTTCAGCATTCAGCTTGTCTGTTTGACAGCCTATCTGGATCTGAGGGAGAGATGGAATATGTTTTACTGCTTTGAAACCTCTTATGAAAAGTCTACTGTACTACAGTTAGATTTTTTCATTAGATGCATATATAGTATAACTCAATGGGCACAAAATGGACATAACATGTATAAATAAATGTACACATGAAAAGTATATGAGAATATTATTAGAAATTACTACTATATTCATTGATGCTACAGTTCCCAACAAATTCTTTAGACTTCATTTTAAAAGAAAATATAAAACACTTTCATATCTTGCAAACATTCTAATATGGAATCTCCAACAGGAGATGACCTGATGGACCTGACTTGACTTTGTAGTGTGCATTAGCAGACTAACATTAACACTGACAAAAACACAATGAACTCTGATTATCTGATTTTGTGTACTGTTACCGTCCATCTCTTGTTGACGATCTCTGCTGGTATGATTATCTCGGTCTTCATTCCAGGACACAGGTACAGACCAGTACTAAGCCACTCCTTCTCTCCTGATACACACATACACACACAGAGCGGCAAATGTTACACTTGGAGATGCATGCAAAACAGGAAGAAGAGCGATTTTACCTTGTAAATGTTTATGCAAACACACTACTGTGACATATTACATTGTACAGAGACAAATTACCGGTCTGCATGTTTATCTCATAGTTATGTCAGACAATGTGATTTTACCTGCCGTGTTAGCATTAATCCTGATCCTTTGGTTATAGACAAAAGGCATTTGCTTCATGAGGTAAGGTAGGAGGGCATCAGGATCGGGGGAAACATTATATAACTCTGTCCCCAAACTGAGGAGTAGGTGGTCTTTTGGGCTCTTCACAGGATTCTTTTCACTCACCTTGAAATAAAGTGAAGAGGAATAATTATAAAACTGATCTCCGCAACACAACCTGATAATTACAATTATGCTTTCTTACCATGCAATCACAGTGAGAGCTTTGTATAAAATCTCTTTCATTGTGTTGTACTGTCATTTAGGAAATTTTTTCTTATAAGATAGACATAATGCAAACTTCTGTTTCAAAGCACAAATGATACTGCAACATATAAGTACCCATTGAGCCAAACCACAATCAGGTTACTTCCCCTCTCTCTCGAGTTCATTCAGAATCAGAATCAGAATCAGAAATACTTCCCCGGGGGGAAATTACTTTACTTTCAACCTCAAATATGTTTGTTTCCCTTCAAGTAACAAAGTTGACAGTGTTTCTCACGGTTAGTCCTTCCCAAATCTTCCTAAAGCTGACTTGCATATAGTCTATATTGCTCAACGTAATCTCCATTACCTTAAGCCAGCTCATACTTGTATTATACAGTAATTGTTACATATAGATTTACTATCAATAGCAGACTTTCCATAACTCATGAACTTATAAACTCGTGAAACTTAATAGATTCAGTCACAGACTATAGAGCCATTCACTGCCCACCTGTGGCATGCCGGACTTCTTCAGTATGTCAGTGAGGACGGACAGCACCTGCATGTAGGAGTAGCTGTCATAAGCCTTCATGGGCAAGTAGTCGGCACAGTCCCGACCCAGTTTTTTAAAGCGTTCCTCCTCATGCTCTGTGAGTTTTTCACCCTGGGCGATATGACCAGCCAGGAGGCGTAAAAGATAGCGGAAGTGGTAGGTGTGTTTCATGGCCTGGCTGGGCACAGGGACCTTGTAGGAACCTCCACTAATCGTGGCCTTCAACAGGCTCATGCCCATTTTGTTCAGGATCTTGTTTCCTGAAACACAGTTTAACAAACCTGACTTGATTTACTGTTATGTAGGTCTGTTTAGAGTTAAGGTGTCCCAGAGTAGTAGACTTTGCAGGTGAATCTGAAACAGACTTGAGAAAAACTTCATGTACATAAATTTACATCTAAAAAGACCCAAGACAGAATCCAAAATGCAAACACAAAAAGTTAGTACACTTAGCATGCTAGGCGAAATATGAATCATACTTTATCATGCTAGTGCACTTGCCAGTGGGTTGAAATGGTAATCACAGAATAAAAATCTTGCTGTGCCTTGTCATACCTGAGAAATCTGTCAATGGGTTTTGCCCAAAGTGTGTATGTGCCCAGTACCAGGCATGTCCACCAATCAGCAGGCCTCCTCCCTCTGCCACAAAGTCTTGGATTTCCTCCACATGATCATCACTGTACGCTGTACACACAAATACACTCAGGTCTTTCCTGAACACCGTCTTCTTGCACTTTAACCCTAACTCGCTGAGACTGAGATCTGGCACAACACCAATGACCCCCTGCCGGCCTTGGTCCAACCAATCAATGGCATTGTTCCAAAAGGAAGCCAGTGTCTGTAATGAAGGCAGTTATTCATTAGTTATTCATGTAAAATGATTTGGCAGGACAATATTTAACAATATGTAACAGTATGTAACAATATTTAACAATATTTAGCACACTGCAGGTAACCAAATACTAGTGGCCTTCAGTTATGGTCTAGCAAAAGAAATGACATACTGTATTTCATATCTAGACACAAACCACATGCTTAGTTTAACTTATGAAAACAGATTTATGTTCATTTAAAGATATTCTAAGACCATTCATTCAGACTGCACCTTTTTTCCCAGATATGCTTCATGTGTCACCACAATGACCCGTCCCTGCCCATAGTAGGCTCCTGCCAGGAATGCCTGTCCATCCTTAGTGGTACCAATAGGGAAGGCTAGTGGGCCGTGGACAAGAACCTCAGAAGGTACTGATTCACCTTGGAGGTCAAACTCTGAAACTTTCTGGAGTAAGAGTTCCAGGTCATCTTCAAAATTCTTACCAAGTCTGTGTTAGGGGAAACAGGAGGGGGAGACAGACACAGAGGGAGATGGGTGGAGCAAGAAAATAAATTTAACTTAAATTTAAATTTAACTTAAAGGGTGTGCCCAGCATCGGTACTCTAAAATGAACTTTTTAGGACTTTGTTTTATATCTCATTGAAATAGCCAAAAGCAGAAAATGAATTTGAATGAGATTATTTAGATGTTTTGCAGTATCTTTGATTGCAAGCTGACTTTAATTGAAGAAAATCATGTTCTTAGTAATATTCCCTGTAAGTAGACCGACTAAATTTAGATAAATAAAAAAAAGTGTTTATGATAATGCAGTGGATTATGGGTTAGTACATAACAACTGGCTCGCCAGACAGAACATAGAAATGACCTCTCTGTGAAACTCTGTGATGCATTAAATGACACATGGACATTAAAGTAAACTGCTTCAAGCTGTAAACATAAGTATTAATGTTATATAAGCAAAAGGAGGTATACTCTTACTTTATAGCCATCCATGATGATGGGATTTGAGGGTAGACAGGCAGGATCTCTACATTCCCATAATGCGTAGAAAAGTAGATCCCAGCCACCCCAGACACTTTATTCCCTGGAAATTGCAGGATGGTGTTCTCCTTAGGGTGGTTTGCAGCCCAGCTCCATGCCTGCCCCGCTATCAGCACTCCTCCTCCAGCTTTCAGAAATGCCACCAGGTCGTCCTTTGGGTCTGCACCCCCCTGTAGGCATCAGTCACATACACACCAACCTCCAGATCATTACTAAAGGCACCCACAACTTTGGCTTGGAAGATGGATCTGCTAAGGTTATCAGCTACTGCCTTTATGTTTTTGTGGACCCCCACAGACAAGTTGTCAGACCCATCTCCTCTCAGCCAGGTCAGAGCGTTCTCTACCAGAGCAGGAAAGGCAGTCAGGTAGCCTTCATGACCCAGGACAACAATCCTTCCACGCCGTACAGAGAGGCAGCCATCAGGACCTGGCCTTTGCTGTCATTGCTAAAGGAAAGGCATGATCTCCAATCAAAAGGTCACTGGGAACACAGGGGCCCCGGAGGTCCAATTCTCTCAAGCCACGCATCAGGAAGATGTAGGCTTCTTCATGGTGGTTTTGGATGGGCTCGTTGGACATGGTGAGCTGGATTGATGCTCTGCAGGTTGAAAGAAGAGGGTGTGATAAGTCAGATGCCACTTGCATTAGTAAATGAGGTCAAACAGTTTAACTTAGATATATGTCGTGTCAGTTAGTTAGTCCTGTGGGTAAAATAAGAGATCTCGGATGAAGATTAAATGAAAAACAACTGGGGACCCATTCCAAGAGCCAGTGCCTCGGTCAAGTGGAGAATTTACCTAAAATACATGTTTTGATGGTGGGGGAACCAGAGCACCTGGAGGAAACCCTGGCAAACACAGTGAGAACTTGCTACTTGCTTGCTGTGAGGTGACACAGAGCCACTGTGTGTGTAGTAGTTGTGAGTACACAAAAATGTGGCAAAAACAGATGTTTATAGGAAACAATATCATGAGATAAGTCAAAATGATGTAGCAGAGGGTTTCATCCAAGAAGTATATCAATTTGTAATAACATATACATTTTAACCTGGCTACATTAGAGAAATACAAGGCAGATATCTTGATTATCAATGAATTGTTTCTATTGTCTATCATTGTAATCTGAATATCTTTCAGTTTTTGGACCGCTGCTCAGAGAAATCAAGATCTTGGAAGACGTCACCTTTGGGCTCTAAGAACTTGTAATGTGTATTTTACACTTTTTTCCTTCAACATTAAATGATAAACAGATTAACTTAAAAAGTGAATAGATTAATCAACAACGACAACAAACTCATGGGTTGCACCTCTAAACTTTAAATGTATCATGTTACGGTTGTAACAACACCCCAATGACTCTGTCAATCAACACAGACACAGAATATAGTGAAAAACAATGTGTGAGTGTTAACATGAAGCCTATGCCCTACTGCAATATGTTTTAACCTTCTTCTATTAATGCCT